TTACCAATCAGATATTTTACCGTTGATATTCTCTTGCTTTTTACTGTTCCGAATAAGGTCCAACCTTGGCATTAAGAGGCTAACTTGCCTCAATTTTTTTAGACTTACTGTATGTTTAATTTAAGCACGCTATCGTCGTAAGTCCTAAGATTACGAAAGGTTCAACGAGAGTCATGTGATTCAGAGTTGTGATGAAATTTAAATTAAACAGTTCAATTTAGCCGAGTGTCATGGTCTTATGGGAGAGCTCTTCACCCACAGTTACCAGAACTCTGAGAAAGAAATATCACAAGCTTGTTTTTTTTTGTTTTTGTTTTGCTTGTTTAGGCTTCGCATATGTGGAATCAGCTTCCCTCTTATATTTAAAGGATCAACCGATTTGAGTGAATTTCGCAAGCTTTTAAAATCCTTTAATCAACCGGTCTTAAGAGCCAGTTGTAAATGTAATTATTGTATATCTTAGGGTTTTGCTAGAGTTTCCTAGTTCTTTTTTTTTGTCATTAATTCACTGGGTCACGGGTGGGTGCAGCTTTCTAAATTAACTTAATGTGGGTGCTTGTATTTTAATTGACTTCTTAATTGTATCGTTTTTAACTTAGTATTTTACTGTCATACGTTTTATACATGAGTCTCTGGCTTGGAAGGCCGGGGCAACCCCATCCTACGTTTTGACATTAATAAATTGATTCATTGATTGATTTGTTTTTGTTTTTGTTTTCGATCATAGAGTCCAAGGTTTCATAGTCACAGAGAACTTTCTTTTTCTTTCTTTATTAAACTGTTTGTTTTACAGTGCTAAAAGCAATCAAAGTCTCTTGTTGAGTTACTGTACTGGCTTCCTGTTTGAAAGTCAGGTCTTTTCGTCAAGCGCTTCATCTGTCAGAAAAAGAAAAGAACTCATTTATGGAAGCTTTCCCATGCTTTGACACTATCGCCCACATATTCTATCAGTTGTCTTCTAAGCCATAAAATACCACTTGGCCCTCTGGGTATTTTCCAAGTCCGAAAATCTTCCCCCACCATTAAAACAACAGACTACACTTTCTATTGGTTTAACAGCTTAATGACTTTCACAGCTCGCCTCTGGCTCGTGATATACAAACTTTTCTCGTCCTTCTCCTAATATTCTACGCGACCACTGAAGTTTAGAGAGGATCAAGCTCTGAGAATTATTAAGGGAGCCCAGCCATTATGACCAATCCTATGTGGCAGATTTGAACAACGTGACATATCATAAGGCGTTTATTGGTCTACCCAAATATCACCATAGGTACATGTATCATTATATCTTTTAGAACGTACTGAAAGGTGCTCTTTAGAATAAGGAATGTAAGGGGAATCTCTTCTATGAGCCTTAAATTGTCTTGCTTTTCTATAGGGTATACCTGTTCATAAACTTCTGTGAAATCAGCCATCTAGTGTCAAGCAAACTCTCGCCGTCTGCCCGACGTTTTTTTCGGAAAACACAAATATACGTGCCCAGAAAGACATCGCCGTGCTGATCGTTTGTTTCCACCCAGAAATCGTCCTTTATCTGTAGAAGATGCTTTTGCCGGGCTCGTTTCGAGTTTAGAGACATGTAACGTACTTGGAATTGCATCTTGAAACTTTTTGGCCGATATAGTCTCCCTCCTGGCATTCTATGCGTAATATGTAGATAATTCGACGAATCAATCAATGAAATGGCAAAGAATTGCAAACGTAACAAACAAGATGAGCACGCTTGAAAACCAATCATTAAATAATTAAAACAAAATGAAACGGAATAAACAAAAAGAAAAAAAGGCAAGAAAAAAAGGTAAGAGCTTGAGTCCTTGGTAATTTTTTGTGCCTGATGTTTACTGAGCACTTGAACCTTGACAAAATTATCCAATTTCCGAGACCCGACTGTATGTAGCTCTGTAATTAACCATAAAGGTTGAACATTCGTAAATAAACATAAAAGAAAGCACAAAAATTTCTCACACCTTTGCTGTATGTGTGATATAAGTGTCCACCTCATATACGCCTTTCACGTTAGTAAACGTCCATTTTAACAAAACTATTTTTTTTGTGTGCGCAATCAAATTATTTATGATCCATATAGATTTGAATTTTAAATGGTTTACTGTATCAATCGCTAACAAAAATAATGAGGTATACTACTGTTAAAATGACGTGTATTATGGTTTTCACTGATTACAAACAGCTATGAAATAAAGGGGAAGGGCGATCGTGCTAACAAAACAAACAGAATTCACAATTCGCCAGAACCTCTCTATGCATCGAGGAACAACGGTTTCAAGGTTGTAATTACGATACCTGTGGGTCAATCCCTTTCTTCCTTGGAATGCGTGAGTGTTCGGGTAACGCACAGACAGCAAGTGTTACCAGGGACAATAAAAAAACTGCTAATTCTCGCCGTGCCATGATCATTTTGTATGTATAACCTGTACCTATCCTAACATAGAAAAGATAAAAAAAGAATGCAAATTCAGCAAATCATGGTCAAGGAAATTTTTTACTTGAGGCTAAAATGTGTGTTTGTAATGTCTAATCTGGCCGGTGACACTCTCTCTAACTATGATAAACACATGTCGCGCACATGTGGGAGACAAATAACAGAACATTAACCCTTTACACTCCAAAACAATTATAAGTAAATCAATGCAAGTAAAGGGCTCATGCGTAAACGAGCTGCTTACCTCGCAGCAGTATCAATGGTGTACCAGTTGGTGCTTTTTCAATCATCAAATGTCTGCTGTAAATATATGTGTTCAGGCTCCTTTATATTGCATATGGTACGATAAGGACCACCTAAAAAAAAAAACAAAAAAACAAAAAAAGAAGAAAAACAGGTCAAAGGACAGAACCAAACATCAAATATTCATATTTTACGCTTGCATACTAAACTGCCAGTTCACCAACGATCTAAACTTGATCACTAATCGACACCGTGGTCGTGAAAAACTATAAAACCAGTTGAGACTGGTTGTAAATGAGTAAAAACTGTAAATTGTAAATGAGAGAAAACACCAGGCTATAGTCTTGGGAAAAACAGGCCACTCCTTCTCTTTTCCATTAAAAGATTCTTTGGATATATTTGGAATAAATATTGACAATAGGTTGCGTTTTGATAATTATATATCAACTATTTGTAAGAAGATAAATGGCCAGTTCAATGTAATGCTAAGATTTCGTAAACTTATCTCTAAAGATACTCTACTAAGATTGTATAAGGCTTTTATTATGCCACATTTTAACTATTGTTCGTCTGTATGGCACTTTTGTGGTGCGCGTAGTACTGAGAAGATAGATACTTTAAACAAGCAAATTCTTAGAGTTATCTTGCAGGATTATAATTCTCCCTATGACTCTCTACTTAGCAAAGTTAACTCCAATTCTCTGTATAAAAGACGCCTTCAGACTTTCTTAATTATATTGTACAAGAGCTTGTTTTTTAACTGCTATCCAGGCTATCTAAAGAATATGTTTAGTTTCCGGTCTGTATCCTATAATCTACGCGGAAATTATATTTTGTCTCTACCGTCTACAAAAACTACTACTTATGGTCTTCACTCCTTTTCATATATGGCTTCAAAACTATGGAACTCTCTTCCGGACTCTTTTAGAACGTCTGACTTTTCTGATTTCAAGCGCAAGATTCTACAGTATGACTCTTTCTCATAGTTAAATTTTAGAATGTTACAATTTTACATTTTACATTTACATTTTAGTAGTATTTAAAATTATACTTGTAACTCGAAGATACCAGCTTATTCTTTAGCTACTCCAAATTCGAGATTAAATAAAGTATATGTATGTATGTATGTATGTATGTATGTATGTATGAGACCTTAATTATTTTTTGTGTCGATGTTCTGATACAAAAAAAATTTAAGGTCTCAACTGGTTTTATAGTTTTTCACGACCACGGTGTCGATTAGTAATCAAGTTCTGATCGTTGGTCTACTCGCACTTTAGTATGCAAGCGTAGTAAGGGGTAGAAATTGGAGAGATGATCAACTGCATATTGATAAGATATTAGGTTGTGTGCTAATTTAGATCAAATAACCACACAAACTTTGCAAAATGATGTTACTCGTATACTCGCATCGGCAAAGTAAGCGCAGAGTTTTGTTAAAGCGGATCAAATCTCATGGTGACCCCTATTTCAGATGATGTAATGGCAATTTTTAACACCCCTACCGATTACCCCGTTTTCATAACTGCCTTGACCGAGAGCCAGGGTAAATCGGTAAATCTATTCAAATATTTCAATGATCAAATATACCAAGTTGAATTGAGCCAAGTTTAAATCAAAACTAAAGGAAACAAATGTTAGCACAGCCGAAAGGAAAACGAAAACATAGACAACGACAGCGTAACAGAAAACAGAAACAAATACAATAACATCAACGATGAAGAAAGAACCACAATTTGTACCTCAGAAAGTGACACCCCTTTTCGTTGCATGTATTGCCTTTCGAAGTTCGCTGTGAGTTTCTAATGCTAACAAAATACTCTTCAAAACCTCAAACTCTTTTTAAATCAGTCTGTTTCTGACAGATAAATGACTGTCACTTGACGATAAAAGATTGTATTCATAATTAACTTTTTAAAGATGTTTTACGGACACTTCTAAGATAAGAGAATATCCTCAAAGGCTTACAGGTTTCCTGATGTCAAAGAATTAACTACAATTTTGTCAAAAAATGATAACAATAAGCTTGTGCGCTTAGCTCCTCATAATTACATAGTTCGCTCGATTTTATCCATTAACCATGAAAATATTTTGTTTTAATTAGTCGAAAGAACAATCCAGCCCAAAGGCACATTTTAAATGCTTTTTTTTAACAATTTTTAGCGATTTTAAACAAAAGAAGGAAAATATTGTTCGCATTTACTTCGAGAGAGCCAAGTGGAGCCATCCGGTGCTTTAATAACAACATCAATATTTGCCACACACAACATCAACACTGAAAATATTCATCCTGTCAAGTATAAAAAATTGATCAAGTAAATAAAAGCCTTCCCTTCCTATTCTATAACTCTTCTTCTCACCTTTTGCCAAAAAAAGTCACATAAATAGATCGCAGCATATGTATGAAGAGAAAATTATTGTAAAAAAAGGTTGTGGTTATTCATCGCGTTAAATAACACTTATTAAAAGAGAAAATGTGATCGCTTGTCTCACAATTTGGTCACTTGAGATGTGGATTGCGACGTTTTCTGCATACTGCTCGGTGTTCTCTTTGAAAGAGAAAATTTATGTTTAATGTTGCTTATTTACGCATGTAAGGTTTAGGTCTTTTAACTAAGAACTTGTCAATACCTCACCGTCACACTAACCTGATGTGATTACATTTTGATCAAATTCAGCGATCACTGTAAGGAAAGAGATTTTCTCTTCTTTTCTTTTTTTTCTTTTGGAGGAACGAGTTGAAGAAGAAGCTCCTAACAGCCTGCTTTTAATTTCTTTATGGATTTTCATCTAAAAAAATGTATGGCGCTGTCGAAATGATTTACAACTAATTTCAAATTTTCTTAAGTTAAAACCAAGTGAGGATATAGTTCAGACAGTAAATCTTGTCATGCGTTATTTAGCGCCAGAGATCAATCCTTGCTTAACGCCGTTTTAAATAAAATTAGAACTAAAAATGGACATTGACTTGGCAATAAAATCACAAATGTTTCCAAATGTTAAAATTTTACCCTAAGTATATAATTAAGCAGGACGTTTTAGCAAATCTGACCGGAAAAGCTTAGTTTTTCCGGCTACTTCCACTGCTTTTAGGTTGACTTCATCTTGCAAAATAATGTGACATAAAGATTTGAAAAATCTATCAAGGTCTTAAGATTTCGTTTAAGTGATTTGAAAGGCAAAACACTGATTAAAATTCACGAATCTGTAGCACACCATTTGGCTACTATGTCATATCTTTTCCTCTGTAACAACCCTTATTCTTCTAAATAATTAATTACTCCTTGGTTTTTGTTATTAAGTGAAGCCTTAAACACTATAGGTTTAATTCTAAGAAAGGGGGATTTCCCGGCGAACCTTTCGAAATGAAGTTTCGCAGAGGACAAACAACATCCCCAGAGCGTCTCATCGATTGACATATCAAGAGATTAGGAACTTTCAACCAGAAGTTTGTTCATAAAACCATCGAATTTTGTTTTTATCTCGGCTATTACAAAGTATTATAAAATTTATAACCAACTGCGGCTTGATGATATACAAAAGCCCTGAATTCGATTTCACGCATGCGCACATGACTTTCCTTTCCTTTCCTTTCCTTTTTTTTTTTTTTTTGTTTGTTTATAGCTGATAAATTCTTATGCTAAATAAAACACCTAAATCTTTGACATGAAATTCATCACAATCTGAGATCCCAGCACTCGGGAACCGAGAGCCTTTCATCCACCAATCAGACGAAAGTTTGAGATTATCAAACTGCCGGCCGAGATGAGATATTCGATCTAAGAAACTTTCGATTAGCAGAGTTTAGTCGAGAATCCTGATTTATTAACTTGAGAGGTCGTTTAAGGTTTTCTTTACCTGGCGATTATGTATGAAACATGTGGCGCCAAACATGTTGGTCGGGAAATTTGATTTTGCGTTTACCTTTGTAATGGTGCCAAAAAGATGCGGATGCATTTGTGTAACATTTGGAACAGGGCAGAATCAGACAAGAAGCCATGCAGTTCCTGTCACTCGGAACCGTTTCTATCACCTGTAACACTTCTGACCTCAATGTAGGGTTAAGACAAGGGCCATGGTCTTTATCTGAAAATACCAGAACCAACATACTCTGACACTCTTCACACAGACTCCACGCCCGTCTGCGATAACAAATTTTTGTTATTGAAACATTGAGTTCATTTCCTTTGCGGTTCACAAAAATTGACTTTGTCGCACCACAGAACACACACAAAATTCCGAAAATATCCACAGCAACTGAGGTCTTTTCACGGACTGCACTGTAATCGGTTCAAACGGGAAAGACAATACTCAGAAGTCTCTTTTGACCTTCGAAACCTGTAACGGATGAAAGTAAAGGAAGAACATGGGAAAATCGCTTTTTTAGCAGAATTTTTTGTACTGTGCCTTACCCTTGTTAATCCTTATTATTAATATTTCGCTTTCAAGTTTTCAAAGGAAAATTTGCCATGTTTCCAGTTTTGTATTCAATAACGGAAGATTTTTATTCATTGTGCATTATGTTTTTAGTAAATACTTACGTTTAGATTTGTAAAGAAGATTTATTCGGGCTCTGGTGCTTTTGGCCACAAATACTTCACTTGTTTTTCTTTGTATTCAGTTCTTCGTTTATTCTGTTTTTGATTTACCAACATAACTTATCGTCTGTGCATATAGAAATTTTGGCGTAATAAGTTGTGACTTCCTGACGTCTTCTCAATCACAGCTCTTTTTCCATTAACCGAGATTTCGATATAAATTGCGCCAATGGACGAAACCGTGTAAGACTATTTAATCTGCGATGAAATTTTCAGATCAGAAGGCAGGGGAATCAATCAAGAGATTAAATTAAGACGATTTTAGCATCAGCATTGAGAAGGATTAGTCCTAGACGAGAGTGACGCCCTAAGATTTATCGGCGTCCTTTTATACGCCCTACAATGGCGGAAAATGGGCGCCTTTTCGTTCCTTTTTTTTTTCGGGGGGGGGGGGAGCTACAATATTCCAGGCATTTTAGCTGAGAATTGGCCTGTAAGAATATAAAGAAAGCAACAATCTGAAGTCGCAATTGTCACATTATCTTTCCTTTTACTTTCAAGAATCATCAGGATTTGTTTGGAAGTGGCTGATTCATCGCAGACGTATTGAAAACATGTGATCCTATTAGCTTATTGTAATTAGCTAGGTATCTTTACGATTGTAATTGAAAACTAAACATTTACCTTAATGATATATGTTGATCGCCTCTCGCTATTTTAAGAAGCGAGAACGTGCCTGTCAGTGGAATACAAATGATATCTCTTCTTTGTACCAGATGCTTCCAATTGTATAGAGCAGCGGCAGGACAGAATTTATTTATAGACGACATCGGAAGCAATTGACGATGAATGATACAAACGTTTGGAGCTTTACATAACACAAACAAACGAGCTTCCAAGCCATGGAAGGTGTTCTAGTAAGTTCTGCCCGCTGTCACGTTTCCTGACAAAGGGCCTCGTTTTCTTCGGTTTTAACTTCTTTAAAAGATTAATATCCAAGATTTAAGTTGGTACGAGTAGAAAAGGACAAGACTGCCAAGCAAATGAAATCTCTGCTGAAATTTCCACCTGTAAGACGGACCCCCGAACATATCCATGCAAAAATGATAATTAAGACCACCTTGCACATGAAATAGTGATGTATACAATAGATCAAACAGACCCTCTACAAGAGATTTCCGTAGTGATAGACGTAAACAAATAATGATACATAGAGGCGACAGGCTAAGGTTACCAATAACATCTTTTCAGGGAGACCACATTTTCACAACTTAAAGAAAAAAGGCAGCAAGAGTTTGAAATTTGACAGACATCCCGCTGGCATGGCAGCAGAGCAAATCTTTCTGATCCAATTCCGTTATATTGGTTTTTTATTTAATTTTTTTTTTTTTTGGATTTAATTTTAGTGAATTTCGCTATTTATGTATCGTCCTGAATGACAACGCTACTTTTCAGGCGTTCCCATGTGGTCACATAAAATGTCTATCTGCTTCATAACTGAAATGAATAACATTCCAACGCTATACGTATTTTTTTTTTTTTTGCCTTAACTGCGCAATCTAGATTGAATTAACTGTGTTTATAACATCCATAAATGTACTGGGTCCTTCCTCGTTATTACCTAACCTAAACAAGCAAGAATACTTTTGGGAATTTAGCACACCAAACTGACCCTTGTTTTCATTTAGCGTATCTCACAATCAGTTTGGTCGAACATCAGCAAGAAGGTTCGAGCAGCGGAAGGAATCGTGATGTTGTTACAAAATACATTCCAAACGTCCTTCATATGCACTACCTTGCATGTATGCCGTCACATACGTTTAAATCGTGATAAAACCAGTACGAATACAGTTCATCATCTCAAAAGTGCTGGAGAAAGTGATTTTTTTTCATACCTATCTTTTACATTTTGCATGATAGAGTGTTTCATGCAATGTAGAGGACCGTTTGATCCCCATCAGTTTGGATCTTTCTGTTTCTAAGTTTCACTAAACTAAGATATCACTTTGAACAAAAGCATCAATGTATGGTTTAGTTGACATTTGACCACCTGCTACTGCATTTTGTGGTCAGCAATGCTTTTCCTATTCTTGGTTAGGAGTATTTTTATGCTTAACTCTACGAAGAATTTCTTTAATTCATCAGGAGACCAAGAGCCTTGTCCCAGAAATACATACGCGCTGGAGAATATAATCGCAGGTGCAAAATCTCATTATGTTGTACAACATGTTTTCGTTTCTCTTTATAGTCTAGAAAAACTAGCAGAGTTAATCTGCAAGTTAAGTGACTGAAGTATATTACATAACTTAGTAATGGCCCCATATTTCTACCTAAAACGCAGTAATGTTTGATGTAGAAACAGTTTGGTTAAGGAACAGTTGCCGAAAACAAAATGCTATGATAATTGCATCGCCAGAAACTTGCCAAAAGCTACAAAATTTGCTGTAGAGATTTTTTGTCTCAGCGGCAGTCTTATTCTGTTCATTTTCAATTATCTTTCATAGTTCGAAGGCTACGGGAAATATCAGGGATTCCAAAGCGAGATCGATGATCAAATACTCTGTTGAGCAACATGAAAGAAGTATAGATAAAAACTAACCGCCAGAGACCTTCGACGTTGTTTTATTTGTGTCAATGCGTTGTTACAAACCCAGCATCCCAACAATCATGACGAACGAACCCAAATCCTACAAGTAATGATGGAGGTGAGCTGATTTCCTTTGTTAAGCATCTGTATCAGTTGTTATTGGACTTGAGCTATGTCTTAGCAAGTGCGACAGAGTCAACCTCGTTACAATTTGGATATATCAACAAAGTTGAAATGGTAAATTGGCCACCGTAACGATTACAAAAGCTGACGTTTCGAGCGTTAGCCCTTCGTCGGAGCGAAACTTCGTTATCACTGAGGAAATGATTACCAATCCGCGACGACCAAAGATTTCAGTGATCAAGAGCAGTTCAAACATGCTTGTACAGGTGATCAAAGAGCCTTTTGCTATAGCGTTGGTGATCGAAAAATTCGCTTCATGCTTAGTACTTTGATCCTGATAGGATCGATGATTAAAATTAAAGTTTAGCTAAAGTTTAACAACCATCCTCCGAAGGATTTTAGTTCAGCCGAACGTTCTTGAATCATGTACCGATCCTCGAGGAACCTTCTGCTTTTGTGATGAAGATCGCGAAATGTCCTTACGTTTAAACCTTTCATGACTAG